AAACCCTTCAAGTGCAGTGTGTGTGAGAAGGCGTTTTCAAATTCATCTACTCTTGTAAAACACCAGAGAACTCACACGGGAGAGAAACCCTTCAAGTGCAATGTGTGCAGGATATCGTTTGCACAGTCAGCACATCTTCAAAGACACCAGAGAACACACAAGCATCACAAGGTCCACTAGGAGTGGAGTGTGAAATCAGCTTGTGAAAGTCAAAACCGGACGACAATCCCAGCTTGGACACTTTTAGAGAAATCAAGGTGAAATATGAAGAGGTGAAGGTGAAATGTGAAGAGGTGATGGTGAAGAGCGAAGAAGTGAAGGTAAAATGTGAAGATGAAGATTCAACTCCAAAATGGGACCTTCACATCGATGGAGGCAACTTGGAAGCAGGAGGAGAATTCTGACTGTGAGGCAACTCCCAGCAGCAGTTTGTGGAAGTGGAGGTGTGGGTGGACTTTTTCTGAGACAACACGAAGTCAAATGGAGACCCGGTAGATGTGTAAGCCAGAGACGATGTCGCTCCAATAGATGCACCTTTGTCACAGGCCTTTAATGACAAGAATGTGAAGTTGAACACTCAGTTCCTAGGTTCAACCTGCAGAGTAAGAGCGAGTGGCCAGTCTTTGTGGACCTGTGTGTTGGGTAGATCTCTGAACAGCAGCGAGAGCCAATAAGCTCCCAAGCATTCACGATGTTATAATTGCTTTTACATGGTGCTGACTTAATCCGCTCAGCAACTCGGGAGTTTTGTATCGTACCTCGTCTCAAACACTCTAAGAGCACCCCAAGTAGCAGCTGCCCCTGTGTGGCACAAGGTGGTGGCCCTGCACCGGCCTGCATGTTGTCAAGAGCCTGTCTCAAGGGGGCGATGGTTGATGTGTCAATTTAGCTGCGTAGTTTGTGGGTAATGTTTAGAATTTGCTCAATTTTCAACCAGACGCCAGCATGCAATTGCCTACTCGTTTTGAATGACGCAATTTTACGTTTCACATCCACTGTTCAGTAGAGGGTGCATTCTTTAAATAGCTCCTTGTTAATAAGACGTTATCTAAACTAGATTGTTCAATTTTGTGAGAACGTAATCAACCAGGTAGGGTGTTGACTTGTGTTGGCCGACTCTGTGTTGTGTTGCATTATATTTCTAAGTTCACTATGTTTTCTCATTCACTTGTTGCACCTGATGATGGTTGCTTGTGTTCCAATCGAAATGTCGTATTCTGTTATTTAATTTCTTTTTCCGTGACTTTACCGATGCAGTAAGTTTCACTGCAGTTATTCAATGTCAATATGCCTGTCAGTAGTTTAGAATGAATACTTTTCTGATTGTGCGCATACATTGAACATTTTGTCTGAGGGTCAAACATCGAATAAGCGATGTTGGGACAAAGTGTGTGTTTGTGTTTGTAAGTAGCCTGTAGAGATTACTCAGGTGAGACCCGTTATTCTTGTGATACAGGTCAAGGGTACTTTTGTGTTTCAAGGAAGTATCTGCCTCTGGAGTAGGGAGCATGCAATAGGGAGCACGCTCGGATCATCCGTCAGTTACAAGGCGTACCGCTTAAACGCTACACGTAGAGGAGATACATTCTCTACAACACGAATTATAATTTTGTATTACGTGTTGACAGAGACTTTGTCAAACTAGGACGAGAAATTTTTCCTTGTTGATTCACGTCTGGAGGTTCATAACCGTGGGTTGAAGCAAGCCCGGCTGCTGTTGAGACGCTGTGCACCAATAAGGGTCCATAGGTGGCTTGCACTGAATCAGTGATGCACTCCCAGAAGGCCGTGATGGTTATAGTTTAAAACATTCCTTTGTTTCGTGGAGAGATCGATAAATGAAATATGTAAAGTCTGAATTCTTTCATAGCAAGGAGGTAATTTTAAGAGCACATTTAAAATGCATTTTTTTACAATTTTGTGTTCAGTTACAAGGCAGAGCACATCGAGTAGATACATTCTACCCAACGCTAATTAGGATTTTGTATGACGTCTTATGTTGGTGAACTAGGACAAGAAATGTTCCTTGCTGATGAACGTCTGGATGTTGACAACCGTGGGTTGAAGCAAGCCCTGACTGCTGTTGAGACATCGTGCACAAGAACCGGTCCACAGCTGCCTCGCACTGAGTCAATGCTGCACTAGTCATGGACTCGCAGAAGGCCGTGGGATTTATATTTTGTGTAAAACGTTCCTTTGTTTCGTGGAGAGACCGATTAAATGAAAGACGTCTTGTCTGCTGATCTTGTTCATATCCGTGTACATCGATGTCCCACATTGCTTACACTACACACCACACGCAGTGAAATAGAAACCAGAACGACTTGCGGGGATGTGCAAAGATCGAGGAATCTTTGTCAATGGAGCGAGTTCAGTGTGTTCGATTCTACGTCTCTGTTTGTCTGTGTCTCTGTTCGCCTCTGTGTGTGTCTCTCTGCCTGTCTCAGCGCTGTGGCGAGCGCGAGGCTTTGACCTGATCGCACAGATGTCGTGAGAGTCTCGTCGCTTGGACGCCGAGGTGCCGTGCCCTGCACGGCCAGGAGAGGGCGCTAGAGCGAGCGTGGACTCCTGACAGTGTCCGTGTGTGTGAGTGAGTGTGTGAGTGTGTGTGTCTGTGTGAGTGTCCGTGTGTGTGGCGTAGATCGGTGACCCCCCACCCCTCGCACCACTCCCAAATGTAAACGCTCGTGACGGTGTGCAGGACGTGGGTTCGAATCCCGATCCTGACGCCTGTAGAGTTGGAGTTTGTCAGCTCTCACCACCCCCCCCACTACCACCCCACCACAACCCCCACCACAACCCCCACAACCCCCCTCCCCACCACAACCCCCACCACCCCCCCCCCACCACTCCCACCACAGCCCCACCACAACCCCCAACGCAACTCCCACCACCACCACCCCCACCACAACCCCCCCCCACCACCACTCCCACCACAACCCCCACCACCCCCCCCCACCACCCCCACCACAACCCCCACCCACCACAACCCTCACCACAACCCCCACCACCACCCCCCCCACCACCCCCCACCCACCATCCCACCACAGCCCCCCCCCCACCACCACCACAACCCCCACCGCAACTCCCACCACCACCCCCACCACAACCCCCCCCCCACCACCACTCCCACCACAACTCCCACCACCCCACCACAACCCTCACCACAATCCCCACCACCACCCCCCCACCACCCCCCACCACCACCCCCACCACCACCCCCCACCACCACCACCCCCAACACCACCCTCACCACCCCCCCCCACCACCCCACCACCACCCCCCCCACCACCCCACCACCACCCCCCCACCCCCACCACCACCCACCCCACCCCCCCACCACCCATCCCACCACCCCTACCACCCCCACCCCCCCCACCACCACCACCCCCACCACAACCACCACAACCCCTACCACCCCGCCCCCCACCACCACAACCCCCCACACCCCCCCCATACCATCCCCACCCGTGTCTCCCCTTAACGTCTCTTTTTGCGAGGGTGACCAGGAGCGATCTAAGCATACGGAGCTCAAAACGACAACAGAAATCCAGTTGCTTATCAGCACTACGTACATTACCTAGGATGTTATATTGTAGAGAGTTGGAAACACCCAACTGCGAGGTTGAGTTCAAGTCGTGTTAGGGTCACGGACTGTGCCTCATCAGCAGGATCATCATCATCATCAGCAGCAGCAAAATCCTCATCAACGTCAAGAGCAACAGCATTGGTGTCATCACTACCGTCCGTTCCTCTGGGGTTGCTGAAACGAGCAGGACATTGTCAGCCTGTACCACGTGGTGCATACACATCACCAGCGGCTGTCCCACTGAACCAGGTCCCCCGGCGCAGGAATGTGGAATGTCAATCTCCGGCACTGGACGATGTGGAGCGCTGCTTGCGGCTGTCAAAGTGCCGCCGTCTGCTGGACGGTGTTACGACTGCCAGAGAAAGGCGTTTGCGGTCAAGTTTAGCGAATATAAAATTGGTACATTGTTCAAAACAATTACATGTCATTGTTTCAGTAATAATGGGTTATGATAGTATTTCAGTATAAGCCGGATAAAAGCACGTTTTGCATGCAAGTCCATCCAAAGTGCACTTGTATCAGGTGCCCTGTGAATATCTACACCAGTGAAATGTTGTTTATATCAGAACTGTGCTTACATCCAGCTTATTCCATATAAGTGTGCCAGAGCAAGCAATGATTTCGAACGTAGCGAGGGACGAAATGATCAATCAGAAGATTTGAGAATTAAAACCAAGACAACAGATGCAAATTACAGTGACACACAAAATGAATGGACTTGAGCAGGGCACCACCAGAATGTGTCACGTCGGCTTTCGCGACCAATATTGTTCACCTGAAGACGGCTGCTTGCATTGTGGCCAAAACGTCGTGAGAATTGTATTTTATTACGTTTCATTTTTATTCTTTTATTATTTCCCTTCTACGTGACTTTACCGAAAGAACCAAGAAGATGAATCCCTGCAGTCACGAAAGCTTTAAATCGAAATCATAAACGTTGGGTTAGATCGCATAAGTATAAATGTGTCGTAACCCTCCACCACCCGACACAGCCAATTAACCCAAAAACGTTGATGACGAAGAGACAGGTGAGATGAACAACAGAACTGAGGCCCATGGAGGGAAGGGGCGGTCGACAGAACATGAGATGGCGCTTTGGGATCCTTGGATGAGATTCGCATTACAAATGTAAATGATTATTCTTATTATGGCGGAACGAGGCCAGAAGCTTTGAAGGCTCCCACTGGATGGCATTGGCAAGAAATCAGGAAGAAGAGTGTAAGATCATTATCTTAATGATAATTAAGGGACTACCACAGACGCATTAGTGCACGTGTGCTCTGGGAATTGTTTAACGTCGACATTGCACAATTCACAGCCATTACCACCAAAGGAAATGAATGACACTTTATTTTTTATTTTTTCCCTTCTCCGTGACTTGACCGAAATAACCAAGAATATGAATCCCTGCTGCAGTCACGAAAGCTTTGAATCGAAATTTAACGACACTTTATTAAAACTGCACGCTGTAAATGAAGGTACAATATCACACATCATAAATTAATTTTAAAAAACCTTCACTCGGATTTCTTTGAGCATTCACGGCAACACAAAGAAAACATTAAAAAAGTGATTGTATGAAAATACATTCATCACGTGTCACGAGTGGCCTCTCATACTCGCAGTTTTTCAGCTTCAAGTCCAACCATTAAAAATAAAGTCCAAATCCTTGCCTCCAGATACATTTTAGATTAGGAGAAATAAGCAAGTTTATTGCAACCGATAGGACTAATCATTGCATAGAAACAGGTTACAAACTTACTTATTTCTCAAATGCTGCAAAGCTCTGACCGACCCCAGGGTTGGTGGGCAATATAATGTTACAACTATTATAAGCCGTTTCACTTGAAAGGGGTTGTCACGGTCTTTCACGTAAAAGGCCGAGTGGGTCGAGCTGAAGCAGAACAAGGGTCGGTCCACGTGGCAAGGCAGTGATGCAGAGATGGGAAACTGCCCGTCTCACAGACACACACACAGGCGTATAAGGCACGTGGCACAGCAATGTCTCAAGTCGACTTAACAACATTAAACACAGCGCTCCCTCGCCATTCACGAATGTGTTGTCCGTGACTTTGGGCTATCCGTTGAATCGCATCTGGAACGCTGCACGGCCGCATCGAGACAGACAGAAAGTGATATGAGATCAAGTGACCGAGGAAGAATGTGATAAAGTGACGAGATTGATTATTTAAGGTCATTAATTAAAATGATCGGTTTTCATTCTCCGCGACATTGGCTATTCACCAGCATCTCCGGAACGGTTCAGAGAGGGAATACTATTCAATAAGAAAACAACGAACAGATTAAAATGACTAGTCCGTTATGCTGAGGAGCCATGTGTGGACATTAACAATATTTAATGGTTAAAATTGGGCTTTAAAGTTGTTACTTTTCCAGTAACTACGTGGGAGGCACTGGGCCATTCACAGCATCTTGATCGCATAAACATTCGTCTAAATGTGGACTATGGGATTAAAATTTGCGTTCAAATTGTGAACAAGACCTTGGGGAAATGAGGCTGTGCGCATGACGCCGCTCGGTCGACAGAAACCAGATGATCCAGATTCACCAAAAACTCCGAACCTTTACAAACACTAACCAGGCAAATACAAAGCTCAAGTTTACACCGTACATGCGATTACGATTGCAGAATTATATACATAACGCATTAATGCACGTGTCATCCTTATCCTGAGCACATCGGGTGACGCTCGCCGCGACTTACATAGGGATTGCCAAAGCAGTGCTGTACACACGCACATCAGCTCCAATGCTGGTCAGTCTTCATTGCTCCAGATAGGGCGCAGAATGTCAACTCCCTTCAGAACGTCACCCTTAGAACATTTGTAACACCGTGTGCAGTGTCCGCTCGCTTTGTCCACACGCAGCCTGCATACTGTGACAGCGGCTGTCTCTTAAGGAGATCATCGCCGGCTACCGCTGGGTAATCACCACGACTGCTTTGCACGACCGTGAGTAACACCGTGCCAAGCGGGTGGCCACCGTCAAGTTTCTTAACCTTCTAACATCTCACCAACTGCGGCCAACCCACCAACTGGCCTTGAGGCAATGACAGAGAACACTTCGACGACTGCAATCAACACATTCTTCCTAATAAAGTGACGGTATTCAGTGGCAAGACGACAAACGTTCCCAATGTTCCTCCGTGCTCGAAGGAGCCACGACGGAAACGACAGCCGTGTCAGCACCGTTCCATTCCACGTAACGCTTCGCGCGCAAAGGCGGCGTTTGTTGATCGCGCTCGTGCAGTCTGTCATCCCGCGAGCATCACCAATACGCGCCGACAGATGTGCCGTCCGTTGTCCAGTGCACACGAGGCGCTAGCTGCCCAACGCATTCGCGGCGACGCGGACAACTTCCCCTCCGCACGTCGGCGCCAGGAATTCTTCAGCGACGCGCTTTAAAATCCAACTCCATCCCGAGCCGAGCCACGCGATGGGAGGAGAGACGCGGGCACGTGCGTACATACGCAGCCTGCGATTCACGTCATATTCACGTTCGTTAGACCACAAGGCCTCGTGTTTTCTTCTTCTTCCCGAAAATGCCACCTTCTGAACCTATTTGGCGAAAGGAGGTGACCATCTCATAGGTCGAATCGAAATTCACGAACCCTTGGTATTCACTTCATTTAACCGCGTTTGCCATCATAATCTGATATGTACATCAGATAATGCACAGCACAGGTAAGTTAACACATTGTATGCACGAAAACCATCATTATATTTGGCTTTTCACATAATCTTCCAAATTTCCAGCTCTGAGAATTAAACATTTCGGTTTGATCGGCATACGATGAACATCTGTACAGCAGGACGTGCGATAGCGAAGTGTTGTGCGTGCTGGTCGTGTGGCGAGGAGATCACTTGAAGGGATCTCACAAGCAGCTGGATGCCATGTTCTTTCATTTCTAAATGTAAAACTCATTCCTTTAGGACTGACTTTTGTATTTAGTTTAAAAACTAATGTCGCTTACCCAGGTCACACTAGCAATAGAGGCATTCCTCTCAATCTCTCACCTAGTCTTCGATAAAAGTATCCAGTGACCTCGTTGAGAGGCCGACAACACGAAGGCGACGCAGGCACCGAGTCCATCGACCTAACCCGGTCGACTTGAGGTGTCCACAGGCGTGTCCAGGTTGGGGGGCGGTGGGGGGGGGGCGTGGTGGCGGTGGCGGGGGTCGTGACCATAGCCGGTGTGGCGCACATTCAAACATCTCTCGGCGGAAGAAATGAAACGTCCGAGTTGGCAGCTCTCCTCCTCCCCACCGCCACCAACCCCCCCGGGCCCCGCCGCGTCACAGCCGCCTCAGGTTGCGCTTGCTCCGCTTGGTGCCGGGCAGCGCCTCCGACGGCCCCCGGCGCGCCGTCCGCGCGGGACTGCACGGGCGTGACCCGTGCCACGGGCACCAGCAGGTCGCGCAGAAGTCGTACGCGCACGACTCCCGCGTGCACAGCGCCCGCTCCTCCGCGCGGCGCAAGCGCGCCGGAGACTGGCAGCGCGGGCACTTGCGCAGCGACTCGTCGCTGTGGAGCGTGCGGCCCACCTGCGGCGGTGGACGGAGAGAGAAGGGCGCGATGACAAAGCGTTGAAGGGATATATTGTCGTGTCTGAAGTGGAGGCACCTAGTTTCTACTTCCTCTTGGTTCTTTCGGTAAAGTCACGTAGAAGGGAAGTAATAAAATAATAAAAATAAACATAATAAAATAATTCTCACGACGTTTCGGCCACAACGCAAGCAGCCGTCCTCAGGTGAAGACCAGGTCTGTCGAGGCGACAGCGTCTGAATGAAACAGCACACGCGCTTGGAGCATGTATATAAGCTGGGTTGGAAGGGGGGGGAGAAAGGGCGTCTTGGCAAAAGAATTTGCATATCAAGAGGAATTTAGCATATTTATATTTATGGGAAATGCAGTTTCTACTTCCCCGTACCTGATAGAATTTAACATCGAGTATTCGAGTTAATATAAATTAAGGTGAATTGACAGTAACATTTCATGTTTCCCACAAGTACGTGTGGTTAATGCGGCTTGATGCCTTGCAGTGGGTATCTATTTGATATTTGAACACCCTAACACCTGTTTTATTGCCAGAATAGGGGAAAAGCTTACTCGTATTTTTCCATCACATGACAGAATCACTATCGCCTTGCCCCCCCATCACAAGTGTCTCCATACCGCCACGAAGCGCTCGTGCTGGCTGCTCGCTCGGCTGCTCGCCGCCTGCCCATTCGTGGGCGACGGCGTCGCGAGGCTTTGGCCGGACGGTACCAAGGGACTGCCCCTGGGCACCGGCTGGTGCCAACGTGCGTCAGCCACGTCGTCGCCTGCCCACGGGTTTGGTACGTTCTCCTGGGGAGGGAAGAGTCACAACGAGGTTACGCTCAAGCAGCCCGCAACGAACGTCTCCACTGCTGCCCCACTGCAATAGATTTCAGTGAATGGATCATGGGCTGAATATGGTCATTGGCTAATTGTCATGTGACCTTTTCCCCACTTTGACATCTCCAGGATAAATGAAGATTCCTAATGTATGCTTTAAGTAGAATGGGTTTAGTGCCACCTATGGAGCACTGTGCATGGTTACAGCTGACATCACGTTGCATTCAGATTTTGCCGTGTTGTACTGCGTTGTTATAACACGGTTCTGAGAATTGATTACTTTCAATTCGCATCAATAAGTGTAAAATGAGCTCAAGCCTCACGTAAATGACGTGACTTCTGCGTGGCCGCACACCAAGCGGCTGGAGTCGTTGACGCTCACTGGCCCCACACGTACCTTGTGCCAGATCACGGGCACCGGTTTGGGAGTCAAGAGCCCCAGCGCCCGCCCCCAGTCCACGGCAGCGCGCCACACTGCGCTCACTTGGCACAACCTGCCGCAAGACACGTACCACTTAGCCACGTGTGCCTTTCACCTGTCCCCATAACAGAGTTGGCAGTCCCGAGTTGTGAGACTTTATTGGGCAAATAAATAGCAATATTGCTATTAGAAGTGGTGAAGTAGTAGCACAGGAGTAGGCACACTACACAATGAACCTGGCAGCAGATCACATACGTGAGAATCGATATCTCAAGCAGTCCTGGGGAGCCTTCACCAACCGGCACCGACCAGTGTGGTAATTTCTAGATTTGAAGCTTTCGTGACTGCAAGGATTCAAACTCTTAGTTCTTTCGGTAAAGTCACCATGTAGGTAAAAAAATGAAATTAAAATTAATAAAAATAAAATAATAAACATCACGACGTTTCGGAGGCAACACAAGTCTCCGTCATCAGGTGGGACCGTCACAGCCAGAGACTTGCTGTATTGATACAGCAAATCTTTAACTGTATTGACACAGCAAATCTTGCAGCCCATGTATTGATACAGCAAATCTGGCTGTGACGGTCCCAGCTGATGACACCGTGTGGTAAAGTCTGGTACATGAACTGCTGTGACCACAGGCAAGGGGAGCGAGCGAGTCTAAATGGCTCATTCCCTCTTGTGGCCAGAGCAGCCTCCGGAGGGTGTGGGCCCCACCACTTGCGTACCTGTCGTGGTCCGCCGCCGACAGGTAGCCAAGCAGCTGGCACACCACGCGCCTGAGGCCCTTCTCCTCCAGCGCGGCGATTATGTCGAGGAACTTGCAGCCCATCTCACGTCCAATGAGTTGCTTGAGCGAGGGGCTCTCCCTCAGGGCGACGGGCACGGAAGCGAGCGCCTGCTTCATCGCGTCGTTGAGCTGCGCCGGGCTGCCGTCGGGAAGAAACGGGAGAGCCAATCAGCACGCGGCAACGTTCAAACCACGTGGCACGTCCCAATGCGATTGTTCGGCGAGCAACCACCACAAGGACGGACGGCAGTGCCAGTCACCGCTTGGTTGGTTGTGTGTGTTTTTGCGAGACTAAACCTGCAAGTGGATTTTATAGTTTAATAGTACACACCAAAAATTAACCCGTAAAAACAACGTTTTTCACTATAAATCCTTTATATGCGTGGCATCGGTTTTATTTTATTATTCATTTCAGTTTTTCTTGAGTAAGAGTTTCATTTTTATCACATTGGTATTTTAAATTAAATATGAAAAAAAAATTCCTAAAAAGTGTAAAATTTTGTAAAAAATGTTTCACGAAAATAAATTGTCACGCACAACGAGTCTGTGTGCAAAATGTCAGCTCGATTGGATCACGGGAAGTGGGTTAAAAAACGACCGAAAGATTTGCACGGTCGTAAGCGCGCAAGCAAGCAAGCAAGTGAACTTAATATAAAGGATTTAAAAATGTGAAGAATCATTACTAAAGCAGAGCCAGCGATGCTGACTGCGGCTGCCTTGTGCTTTAGGGGCCTGATGTAGACGACTATTTTTTTTAGCGTTTACGTCTTTCTGGTGTAAGTTCTCTTAATCTGGTTTCCAAATCCCACATTTAAATGAAATAGTCTAGCAGAATTTAAACACTTTGAGAATGAAATATGGATATTGTGAAGCCCTCTGGATGCTATCCAAACTAAACAGTCGAGCACACCTGCTTGTGAAAGCACACTCAACACAAGACAGATGTTTTGTTTGCATGACCACCCCTCGACCCGCAGCAGTGATGCTTTGCAGGGTTAATAAAGGACGCTCCATATAAAACATAGATTGCTTCATTTAGTTGGCATTTACACAGCCATGGTGATCTGCTGAATATCATAATTCATTCATAATCAACGTTTATGGGTTTAGATCGCTGCGTTATTTATAAATGTGTCGTAACCCTCCACCACCCGACACGGCCAATCAGTAAAAAAGTGTCACGTTGACAGAAGACAAAATAGTTCACTGCTTTAGCCCACCGGTGTGTTGAAGCGTGAAACCACAACATTTACAATTTGAGTACGACGTTTCGCTGGTAATTGCATCCAGCATCATCGGGCAATTCGCTTCAACACACCGGTGGGCTAAAGCAGTGAACTATTTGTCTTCTGTCAACGTGACACTTTTTTACTGATTGGCCGTGTCGGGTGGTGGAGGGTTACGACACATTAATAAATAACGCGATCTAAACCCAAAAACGTTGATTATGAATGATATTGGTCGCGAAAGCCTGCCACGTGTTAAATCACAATTCATGTTTCATGGTCTGATTATCTTCTCTTTTTACACGCTTTCATTTAACTCACACTGTCTCTTGTATCCTCAACTCTGTCTATTGCCGTATCCTCAAATCTTGTAACTCTATTTTACCCCACTTCCCAATGTGGTATCGACTGCAAACTGGGTATACGTATGTCATACTGATGACAATACTATATTCTAGCATTAAAAATATATATTTTTTAAACAATCTTTTGTATATCTTGTGTTTCGGCTTGGGTCTAATTGCCCACAATCAACTCACGTTGGCTGTAAATCACCACGGTCCCTTACGCCGTGGCAAGCTTCGGGGCCACTTCCTCGAGTCGTGAAGTTCTGCCATTACTCGTACGGTACATTTCATTAAAGCGTGTTTAAAAAAGAAGTGTTTTTAAATATCACTTGATTTAACTACCTCGTTTGGATTGCTTCAGACTTTTTTAGTACAATTATGTTGGCTCCGCTAACCTCAATGTAACAGCAGAAAATATTTAGCGTCGAATGTAAAGGGTCAATCCTGAAAGGTAGGATTCAATTCACGTATTTTTAGCATAAAAACTATCTCTATGTTAGGCGGCGACTGGGTGGCTCAGGTCAGAACTTGGAGCTGGAACTGCTGAGATCCTGGGGTTGTAGTCCAGCCAGCTGCCTGTTATAAAACTGGGATCTCACGGGCAGAGAGTTCCTGCTCTTGGTGGAAGAACCGAAGACTGTACAAAAAGACACAGCATAAAATTTGGTTGTTCACTAAATTTGACAATTCCAAGCACTGAGAATTCAAAATATTTTCAGTGATAGCACAGGTGGGAAAGTGCTGCCCCCAACTATGTGGACCAGAGGTAACTTTGTGGTATCTGATTCCGTGAGCTATTCGTTCACACAAAGAGGTGCATTGCTCAGCAAGTTACCAATGGATTATGTCTTATGACATGCCAAAAATAGCTCAATTGGGATAAAATGAGAAAATATAAAATACTGTGAAAAATATTGATCTGAATAGATGAAATGTGCTTAGAGCGGCCTCTCAAGAACACCCTGAAACAACATGAACAGCACCGGAGAGAGTCACGATGCCCTACGGGTACCTGTGCCTCCACGCCGACGTCGATGCTCGACCCGAAGCCCCCACAGGCGTGGCCTCCTGCAGGCCCTGACAGAACCGCCACGCCACCTCCTGCTGCAGCCTCAGGGCGGGCGTGAGCACCGCATCGGCGCTCACCACGCCAGCGCGCGTGGGTGGCGTGGCATGGCGCGACACGCACGGGGGCGCCGTGTGCACGGCGGCGTTTCTCAAGGCGGCACTGGCGACGCCGTCTCTCGCCGTGACCATCCTCCGCTGGCTGCGCGTGTTCACCACTCGACGGCAGCTCGGCGACCCGGACGCCGCCGCCGCCTCCTCCGCGTGCCGCGCCACCTGTACGTTCGCCCGGCCGTCATCGACGTCCGACCGGGAGCCGCCTTCGCGGATGGTAGAGGGGCTCTGCAAGCGGCCCAGTCTGCGGCTACGTGGCCACAGGTCCGGCGTGAGGTCGTCGCCCGAGCCGTCCAGGCTGCGCTCATCCGCGTCGTTGCCGCCCTCCGTAACGACGCGGCCCCTTTCCGAGAAAACGCAGCGAAAGCTGCCGTCGTCGTCGACCGCGGGAGAGCCTGGCACCGCGTCCCTGCCGCCCAGCGAGGGAGAGCACCGCAAGCCGCCGGGGGATGACGGGTCCAGGTTGAACGTGCGCGCGAGCGCCGTCACTGGCGTGCGGAACACGGAACTGGCGCCGCGCTCGCGGCCCCTGCGGTTTGGCTGCGGCGTCTTCAGGAATGGCGGCGAGAGCGACGTCGACGCGCGGGCACCATCCAGAGAGTCGCGGCCGCTCGTGTCGCCGTCGTCGCCGTAGTCGAGGATGGAGGAGTTCGGCGTGAGTCTGATTCCAGAGTCTCGCTTCTCCGTAGTCGGCGAGAACAAGCTGGCGTCGGGGAGGGCAACGTGGCCGGACACGTCCGGTCGCCGCGTGCCCACGGCACCACCGCATTCTGTCCCCATGCCCACGCCGCTTTCGACGGCCTCTGCCTTTTTGCCCAAAAGTTCATCCAGGGTGTTACGCTCCCCTGCAGCAAAGTTATGTCGGCCGGATTTCGCCAAATCCGCAGAGTCCTCGTCTCGCTTCCAGCTGCTCGTCACAGCCGGCAGGAAGGGAGAGTCGTCCAAGTCCACGGATGTTCGGGACCACGCCGCCACGCTCGCGTCCGATCCCGGGCAACTTCTGACAGAGCTGCCCGGAGCATCCAACCCCTCGCCGCCTGCCTCACGGGACACCGTGCCGTCGTCAGTGACGCTGGAGCCCAGGCCCGAGTCCTCGTGCACCGCCGCACGGTCCAGCGCACGCCTCTCATCGTCACAGAAGCCCTCCTCGTCCTCCTCAAGGCCACTCGGATCCGTGTAGCTGCATGAATCGCTGTCGGTCCTGTCAGACTTGATGCCATCATCCCTGTTGTGGCGCGAGACCGCTTTTGAGTGCCGAGGCCGCCGCGTCTTGGCCACGGGGAGCTGCGTCACGGCCCTGGGGCTCACGCTGGACTCGCGCTTCCCTCCACGGGTCAGTGCCGGCGAAGAGTTGCACGGCTGGGGACGTGGTGGGGCGGCCCGATGGGCCAGCCCGGTCAGCCACTCAGGCCTCGATGACATTCTGGAGCACCCTCTCGTCCACGTTGCCTGAACAAAAATACAAAAGGCAACAAACGCGCTCGGGTTAACAAATGCGTAGCCATGTGAAAAAGTCAAATGCTTTTTAATCTGCTGTTCAGATTTACCCAACACTCAAACCAGGGGAGAAAGTTTTTTATTTTAACTTAACCCTGCAAATATCTATAACTGCACAATAAACCGGTCTTAATATAATGCAGGCAGGTCGAGCGGTGCATGAGCAAAGCCCCAAAGCCCCACCGCTGTACGTTCAGATCGTGCAGAGTGAATCGCGATGCCGTTGCTCACCCATAGCAACACCACCGCTGCAGACTTACGCCACGGGGTTTTTTTTTGGCGCCTCAAATTTCAAATTCCGCGCCTCTGGGACGCGGGGGCTTGCCCGCGCAACGAGCACGATTACATTTTCGACAACAGACAAGGGTCCAACCAAACCCCTACCAGGCTACAATTCGCACTTGCTAGTGCACACAAGCCGATTGGGCCAAGCGTCTGGGAGCGCGCGAGCCGACTGCGGTAGCCACTCACAACGCTGAGACGAGCAGCGGCTGAGTCAGAGTGAACTATCTTCTTGGTTCTTTCGCTAAAGTGACGTCGAAGGGAAATAATAAAATAATAAAACATAATAAAATGCAATTCTCACGACGTTTCGGCCACAACGCAAGCAGCCGTCCTCAGGTGAAGAACAGGGCTGTCGGAAAGACAGCGCCCGATTTTTTATTATGTTATTTTATTTATTTTATTATTTCCCTTCTATGTGACTTTACCGAAAGAACCAAGAAGATGAATCCCTGCAGTCACGAAAGCTTTAAATCAGAGTGAACTACTTCAAGTGCAATAGATTTACTCTGCTTAGGCTTGATGATCAGTGCTGCAGAATACATTTCGCAGATCAGCTGCCAATGCGATAATTTATTATTCTCGGATTTAAATGTCCTACGTGCTAATCAACTTACACGTCCATAATAGAAGATTTTTTTGGGTTAAATCGCGTAAATGTATACTTGTATAACTGCGGGGCCCAAGCCATATTTATATATGTTTACGCGATCTAACCTCCATTATAGACGATATTGGTCGCGAAAGCCTACGTGTTAAACTAACTTACACGTGGTCCCGATATCGGAGACCCCATTAATGTAATGCAACCATCGGCACAGAATGAAGCAGGTCAATAATGATGATAATCGGCGTGGTGGTGTTAGCGTTTGTATATTAATTGCTCCAGGGCGTGTTAAACAAAGCCACATCACCCGAATACTCAAGGATCGTAACCACGCTCTTGTAAACCGTTCAGGATTACAATATTACACGCGTTATGTACCAAACAGGGTCGACGCATTTATAAACACCACAATAATTTCCAATAATCTTCCTTCTCAAGGGACGATTTAATGGTGATTTTGGTCAAGAGCTGACTATCAAGCGTGTTGTGATTGGTGGGAAAAATTCAGTGATGTTTTCCCAATGTTTCTCTTATTTCAGTGGGGAGTTCATAAATGCATCATCCTATATTTTAGCCTATTCGTCTTTCAATCTGTTCGGGATTCTTTAATTTGCAAGAGGCTTCTTATGATGCTTTCAATCGAAATGAATAAATGCTGGCGCTTTCACTGCGACGATTCCATCACGAAAATTACATCATAAATGACGACAATGTAATCCACAAATCAATCAGGTACAAGTGATGTAAACATTTTTATTTAAAGCTTTCGTGACTGCAGGGATTCATATTCTTGGTTCTTTCGGTAAAGTCACGTAGAAGGGAAATAATAAAGTAATATAAGTATAAAAAATAAAAAAAATTCTTGCTGTGGATTTCACACCTGATGATGATTGATTGTGTTGCAGTCGAAACGTCGTGAGAATTTTCATTGTTTTCTATATATATAAATCGCGAATCTGTCTGTCTGTCTGTGTGTGTGTGTCGCCGGACCATACGCACTTTCATTGGACGGCGGTTGCCCCTGGCAACGGGTAGCGACGCCTTCGCCGCTTTCATTGGACGGCGGTTGCCCCTGGCAACGGGTAGCCACGCCTTCGCCGCGGGGTGGACGCCATTTTTAATTCCCCTTAAAAATAGGCGCACGCATTAACACGCGACTCTGACGTAAATTCATCAAAGTTTCACGTCCTCTTCACTCCCCCCCCACCACAATGTGTGCAATTACTATTATAGGGTCGGTAGATTATTCAATTATAGCGATTAGACAGTATTATTGTAGTGCGGGGGGGGGGGGGGGAACGGCACCCGTACCCAGCGTCAGCCGGGTGGCAAAATCAGGCGAGGCCGGAGGCTCTGCACGGTGCTAGGCCTCGACACCCACCACGCGACTCTGAGGTAAATTCATCAAAGTTTCACGTCCTCTACAGAGTCGTGAGGGAGGGACAGCGGTGAGGGAGAGAGAGCGGTGAGGGAGGGAGAGCGGTGAGGGAGGGAGAGCGGTGAGGGAGGGAGAGCGGTGAGGGAGGGAGAGCGGTGAGGGAGGGAGAGCGGTGAGGAAGGGAGAGCGGTGAGGGAGGGAGAGCGGTGAGGGAGGGAGAGCGGTGAGGGAGGGAGAGCGGTGAGGGAGGGAGAGCGGTGAGGGAGGGAGAGCGGTGAGGGAGGGAGAGCGGTGAGGGAGGGAGAGCGGTGAGGGAGGGAGAGCGGTGAGGGAGGGAGAGCGGTGAGGGAGGGAGAGCGGTGAGGGAGGGACAGCGGTGAGGGAGGGAGAGCGGTGAGGGAGGGAGAGCGGTGAGGGAGGGAGAGCGGTGAGGGAGGGAGAGCGGTGAGGGAGGGAGAGCGGTGAGAGAGGGAGAGCGGTGAGGGAGGGAGAGCGGTGAGGGAGGGAGAGCGGTGCGGGAGGGAGAGCGGTGAGGGAGGGAGAGGGTGAGGAAGGGAGAGCGGTGAGGGAGGGAGAGCGGTGAGGGAAGGAGAGCGCTGAGGGAGGGAAAGCGGTGAGGGAGGGAGAGCGGTGAGGGAGGGAGAGCGGTGAGGGAGGGACTCAGCCTCAAAACGAGTAACTGGTGTGGCGTATTAACATCGCCACTGGGGAGACAAAGGCGGCCGGGCATGGTGGATACAAGTCCCGGGCGAAGCCGGGTAGTACAGCTAGTATATTTATATTATTTTATTATTTCCCTTCTACGTGACTTTACCGAAAGAACCAAGAATATGATGTAAACATTGTACAATCATCTTCTTGGTTCTTTCGGTAAAGTCACGTAGAAGGGAAGTAATAAAATAATAAAAATAAAACATAATAAAATAATTCTCACGACGTTTCGGCCACAACGCAAGCAGCCGTCCTCAGGTGAAGAATGAAACACCACCAAGCTTGGAGCGTATATTTAAGCTGGTTTGGAGGGGGGGAGGTGGGAAGAAGAGCGCCTTCAAAGAAGAACCAAGAAGATGAATCCCTGCAGTCACGAAATCTTTAAATCGAAATTGTACAATCAACTGATTTCATTGTAAGGTGAATAATGCTGTGTACTCAGAAGCCGCCCACCCGAGTTGGATACAAGGAGAGGGATGACACCTTTACCTGGTCTCTCAACCCCCCCCCCAGCCGCCCTCATTGACCCCCGTGATTAACACATAATACTTCATTATCTACGTATGATTATAATATTATTTGTGGTTTATAAACACGTAATGTAGAGTAATGATAT